CCCCCCCCCCCCCTAGTTAGACTCCAATCGACTTACAATAATTTCTGGCTTAGTTACGAGTCCATGCTAGTAGGTTTGGCAAAACCAAAATATGATCTCATTGAGGAAGTTAGAGAACTTAAATACATGCACAACACTAAACAGAGTACAAAGAAGTCTGTGGATGGAGTACTTTTTCTAACATATATATATAGAGGACATACATGCATATTCTCATGCACCCCATTTCATCCCAATCCTCCAATAAAGTGCCTGAGATTGTAGTCTGAAGAGCCACCGTCCTTGACAGCTTCTTTGGCCAAACCTTTCCATTTTTCACAATTCCTTCTTATCTCTTCCCCTCTCTCTCCATCTCCCATCACAATCTCCAGGCACCTCTTAATCTCTGCACCTCCAATCACTCCCTCTTCATTCTCTTTGGCTCTAACTCCAACCCCCCACACTTCCTCCACTAGTTTTGCATTTGTGTTCTGGTCTGAAAATTGAGCACAACCCACCATTGGAACCCCAGCAACCAAGCTCTCCACAGTTGAATTCCACCCACAATGCATCACAAAACACCCCACTGACTTGTGCCCTAAAACCTCCATTTGTGAACACCATGGCACCACTAAACCCTGTTCTTTGATTTTCAGTCTGTTCTTTATCTTCATTATCTGAGCTTCTTGATCTCCTCCCTTCTCTGCACAGCGAATAACCCATAAAACTGGGAGGCCACTCTCAACTAGTCCATTCAACATCTCTTCAATCTGATCTCTCTTTAACACCACCATGCTCCCAAATGACACATAAACAACTGAGCTATCTGGTTTTGAGTCCAGCCATTGAAGGTAATCATCCTCAGACTTGTCAAACAAGTCGCAACGAAACCCGGCATCACTGGATTGGTTTTCACTTTCCTCCCAAAACCCAGTTATAACCAAGGGTCCAATTGGAATCACATTCATGCCTGATGATCTGAGAACTTTGATTGCTGCCTCTTCTAAGGCATCAAAAGTATTGAGTAGCACAAGACTGGAGTTGGGTTTGCCCTGTTCCGAGACTTGGATGTGTTCTTGAAAGATAGGGATGATTGAAACATGTGGACTGGTTGGTAGGAGAAAGGAAGGTAGCTCTGTGGGAGCAAAAGGAGGCAACCCTTCTATTGTCATAGAATTTGGAAATGGAGGGCAGTTGTGAAAATGGTTGAAGTAATGGTGGCAAAGTGCAAAGGAGGTGGTGGATTGTATGCAGAGAAAAGCAGATGGTATGCCACAATCACTTGCAACTTCAGCAGCCCAAGGGAGGAGGACAGAGTAGATGAGAAAAGTGACAGGGCCTGAGTGATCTTGAGATGTAGAGATTTTCTCAATCAAGGCTTTGAGTGTTTTTGATCCCACAAGCTTAAATTCAGACATATTGGGGTCTTGGGTTGGTTTGATTCCATCATCAAAGCCATCTGAGAAAGAAGCATATGACAAGCCTTCAAGAGAAGGGAAGGATTTGATTTGGGTGAGGCCATGGATGGTGGTGGCATAAGTGACATGTGTGCCTCCAATTCCTATGAGGCGCTTGGCAAGTTGGAGAGTAGGGTTTATGTGGCCTTGGGCAGGGCAGGATATGAGAAGGAAGTGATGATGATGATGATGCTTAATGTCCATGACAATTGCTCTCTTGGTTGGCTTAATCTTGATCTGGGATAATGGGATTGAAAATTTTGTTCGGTGTTAAAGCTTCGTGATTAACCGTCGTTTTGGACTTTTGAGTACAAATTAGGCAAATTCCAATTCACACCAACTCAAGTCAAAAGTCATGAGTGCCACTAGATCAACTAGTCATGAGCGCCGTTAGATTGATACAAAATATTTTTTTCGCCGTTAGATTGATACAAAATATTTTTATCTGGAAACTTGATAAGTATTGCCTAGATTAATGTAAACCACATTTCAAGTAGATTTATATAAACGAAGGTATATAAAAATTATGTTAGATCATCGTGATTAAACTGAACGCTAGTTTCCCTTGAACATACAGGAGTTCATTTTACAGTTTTGGCAACTGGGGTTATTGACTCTGTTAGCCCTCAATGATTTGATGCTGATCTTAGCGTAGATGTTTGAATCCTAGAAGAAAATTTGCTCATTATTTGCCACAAACTTACAAAGAGGACAGCCATTGGAGCAACTTCTTGATACAATGGCACAAGGAAAGTGCTTTTCTGCTTCAGGATGGTGCACTGAAAACAAAACTGAGGGTGGTGCATTCGAATTCTATAAACTTCAACATGCACCATCCTCTGTTTCGTTTTCAGTATTTTCCAAGAATTTGAATGCGCTTCAAGCTAAATTCGAGTGTGCAGCAACCTATCAAATTGAATTTGAAATTTGTTGAACCCTATAATGCAAATTGCATCTATTGAAACCTAATATGTAACATTTCCCATATGCCGGTTCAATTCAATTTTCTAATTCAAGGTTATGATGGTGGGTTACAATCTTACAGAAAGAGAACATCCCATTCTATACAGCAAAAGAAGTATCAGTCTGGCTCAGGGAAACATCATGGGCGCCTCTATACAGTATGCTCGACACTAAGCCGGTCTGTTTGGTTGAGAAGCGGTTCAGAATATGGCCTACTGTGCATATGAACAGACCAAGATGAGTTGGAGAACAAATCAGCTAGCATCTAGCCTTCTTACAACTGTTAAGTACTCTGTGCAGATGGAAAGCTTCACCTTGATCCCCACTCAACAACCTTCTTTCCAAACAGCAAGCAGTGAGTTGCCTGAGTAACCTCTCAAGATATGAATGCAAGCAACTTTGTGAATCTTTCAGGTTTGGATTTGTAGACAAGATCATTGCATTAACTGTGTCTGCGACAACTTCACGCTGTGACTCTTCAAGCAGATATCCAACTGAGGACTCTTGTGGCCGTTCGTATGCCAGCAGAGCAACACAATCCTACAGAGAGAGGTGTTGTAACGATGATGACAAGCTTAAGCTTCAATGAAAAAAATAGAAGCATTCTAGTTCTAATCCACGTCTTGCAAAAGAAGCACCAAAGAAACATGTAGCAACTCAAACCCAACACTACAAGCAGACTAAAAAACATCATCCTTATGAAATGTAACTGTTAAACACCATCCACAAACCATCCCCTAAATTCTGAAGATACCAACACCCAAAAGGAAACCCAAAAACTAACTCACATAGTTTTTTAATAATAATGAATCTCACATATTATCCAAAGACAAATGCATCGATAAAATAAATATTCCATAGTTCGAAAGAAATTCTGTTATTACCTGAACTAGGTCCTCAAACACCGGCAGGCCAAAGAACTTTGCCAATTCCATTCTTCCATATTTCACAGCCTCCTCAAGTGCTCCGACCTACATGAAAATTTTAAGTATCTCAGGCCATCTGTAATATCTATTAACTTTGTCATTAACATCACCAAAGTTAGCAATCATATGCTCTATAAATAAACAAAGACATGCATATAATAAGCCAGACCTAAAAGATGTCAAGGGGATAAAGTAGGCAGCAGCTTGTTATTCGTGAACACTAAATCTAATGTGCCAGTTTGTCAACACTTGAAAGTTGTATATCTAACTATTTGAAATGAAATTAAGCACACTTCAACCCACGTTCATAATCATAAGTTAATAGTTTCCTTCAACGTTTCAGCACTGAGATGTAACAGGTATGCAAGCCTTTTTCGTATCCATCTAAAATTTCATTTAAATGAATAACTGAAGTGCTTGCCATGACTTTTTTGGAAATATTAAAGTTTTTTTAGCAGCAGCAATACTAAAGCTAATTCTTCTAATAAGGGAAAAACATACCCGGACCAATTCGATAAACTTTTGACAGTGGAGTAGAAAGTAAGTAGCTGATTTATCATCCTGCAGAAGGTAAAACATGTCAGAACCTTAATAAAATTAAGCATTGATCCTAAGAAGTTTAGGATGATCAACTTTACCAATAATCAAAATTCAAAACAACCACATTAAAACATATGTGAGGACCTTAATACAATTTCTGTTTGAATCCTCTCAAGCAGAAACTTTGCAGAATTTACAGCATGTACCAACAAAATCTTGTCAACGTCAAGAGCAAAGAAATACAGAAAAACAAAGATGACCACAAAAGAAAAGTGGTCATTCTGAAGCATTAGACAGTCTACCTGAACAATTTGGGGATACCATTCCCGGAGTTTACCAAGTGCAGAGTCGATCTCCCCATTCCTGATAAGCTTCATTAGCAGAGAAAAGTGGTCAGCCAGATACAAATCTTATACTAGAAAAAATTAATATATTTTGGTTATATAGTAACCAATGAAGTGGTACACAAACAATACAAAGGACAGACAAAAATATCCATATATCAAATGGTACACAAACTGATTCTATGATGTTCCCCATGAGAGGATAGTGTACCATTTGACAGTTGAACACTCCCTAAGCCGTGAACAGATTAACTAAATTACTTAAATAAACCAAGACATGAGCAGGTAAACATATCTTCAAATTGAATGACAAAAAACGGATGCATTCATAGGCTGATTTCAAGCAAACTAGACTAAAACATTCACATGTTGCATTAAACTATTGTCAACAGATATTAGACCTGAAAATGTGAGATAAAATGCATATATCATCCATATCATTATTATTGGTGTCATTGTAAATATATCAATAATAAGAAATAAATCTTTTACAACCCAGCAATTTGATGGATCTTGCAGCCATTGCTAAGATCTGATTCTACAGAAGAAATTCATATAGATATCAGCCAAGCAGGCATAAATATTTGCTCATGTCATCAAGTTCTGTGGTTGAACATCGTATTAAATACTACAGTCTCCAGATTATAGCAGCAACATTTTTTTTTTTCTGGTTTCTTGAAACCTTTTGAGTCAAAAGCCAAAAATATATATATATAATACGGAAGGAAGCCCAAAAAGGAGATGGTTCAAAACGCAAAAAAGAAGCAGAAAACTAACTTAACTTTAAAGACAGATTGTAATTACAATAGAATGATACCTGTCTAAGAGTCTTTCTCTCATTTAGTGCAAACACAACGTCCTGCTCATCAAAACCATTTTCTTGAGCTATATGTACAGGAGGAACAGTAGTTTTACTAGCCATGTCAAAAGAATTGAGCGTATCTTCATAGCCATAATGTAGTAAGTAGGAGCGAACAATTCTGGTTAACAAAGTATAAATGAATTAACAATTGACACATAAAAGCTTTAATAATAAACAAAATTAAACCCAGGTAAAATTCATATTGATATGTTACTAGAAATAAACAAAATTAAACCAAGGTAAAATTGATATTCTCTCTCTCCCAACCAAAACTTACCAGGAATTCAACTGGACTATTGATCAAAATTTATTACTTTAAGGCCCCGTTTGGTGGCTGGCCTGGACTGGTTAGGATGGGCTTTGAAGCATTGGATTGGGCTGGCTAGGTTTTAAGTCCAGTCCTATTCATTTTGGTACCAAACAACAGACTACAAATAACAATTTTTTTAATAAATCAATTTTCTTTTTAAAATCAGATGCAAAATTCACATCGAAGAAAATCCTCTCGACTTTTTGTAAAAAGCCTGGAACCAGATGCAAAACCCAAAATCAAACTTTTTCTTGCCGTTGACTGGTTGTGTAGGCTCGGTGTATTCTTTGGCCTCTCTTTGTTCTATTTAGGAAAGTTCATCTTTACCCCAAAAAAATAAACTCATATGAAGATTTAAAAAAATAGAAAATCAAATCCAAAATAAAACTCATATCAAGATTTTAAAAAAATAAAGAAAAAAATAGAAAATCAAATCCGAAATCAAGATTAACAAAATAGAAAAACAAACTCATATCAAGATTAAAAAAACAGAAAAAATAGAAAATCAAATCCAAAAGCAAAGTCATATCAAGATAGAAAATCTAATCTCAGGCAAGGGCGTTGTCGAGTTGGAAGTCACAGGAGATCTCGCTTTAACAGTTTGGATCTCTGAGCGACGACATCATCGAGTTGGTCTCGAAGCACCGGACGGCTGCAGGAGAGAGCTTACCGTCAGAAGCCATGACTCTAGAGAAGGGTCGTAGGTGGTGGAACAGAGAGATGAGCGAGATTGGGCTGATGAGAGAGAGAGAGAGAGAGAGAGAGAGAGAGAGAGAGAGAGAGTAAAAGAAGAAAAAGAGAGAAGGAGAAGACGCGAAGAGAACGGCTTCGAAACCCGTGTCTCACCTTAGGTTTTGATATCCAGCATATGCTGGATTCATATCCTACACAAAAATGTAAGTCCAAGCCAGTGTGTGATGCAATTAAGCTCACCAAACAGGGCCTAAGGAGCCTATTCTAGTTTTGATCCTAGACAGTCTATTGAAACAAAGAGTTCAAATTCCAAAGCTTGTAAGATTTTTTTTCCCTTTTTCTTGATGGGAAGAGTCTGCTACTATGACAGGAAGGAAAACTTGGGAAGACCCCGGCTCACCTGCCCGCCCCCCGTTTTCCCTCTTTTGTTTCAAATTTTCAAGGGTATCAATGCTATTTTTATGCATCTCAACAACCCCAAACACAGCCAGTTCCTACCTCTAACACCCTGAATTTGTCAAAATTCCTACTTGAACCCTGGTTGACAATTCAGTGTCAATATTCATGTAAGTACATAATTCGGACAAGGTTATATAATTTAGTGACAAAACTCCAGATTTAA